AAAAGGAAAAAAAAAAAAAAAAAAAAAAAAAAGAAAAAAAAAGGCCTCCAGGGGTCTCCCCGACTCTCATAGCGTTGTTATGTGTGCTAGATCTTTTAATCACCAAATTCCTGCTGCATCAAGTGGAATCCCCGTGTATTCTCCACATTCTGCAAGCTTGACAAATATTTTAAGTGCAAGGTCCCATAGCCACTTGTTATACTTTGATGAAGCAGCTTTAGAGAAATCAGGTCGAAAGCTCATCACACCAACAGATTTCATCATCTGCCACATGATTGACAGTTGTTGAGGGGATGCGTTTGAGTGGCCTGGTCCGTCTTTGAATGGGAAGCAAGGATCCTCTTCTTGCACGTTATTCGGGGTTGATTCAAGATCTAAGAGAAATTCAACATCATCCAAGGGTCTATCAGCCTTCCATGTACTATGATCCTCTGAGCTTGCAGGCCGTGGTAGGGCTTTATTTTTCTCGGTCCCTAAGAGAGTTTCAACATGAAACCTGAGACGTGCCTATTTTTTACAACACATTAAGGTAACTGATGTCAAGATTATATCTATGATGAAAGCCTGTGACAAATGCAGCTCACCGCAACTCGCCCACCGCATGTATTTATATCTTCTTTCTTGTCATTATCACGATCTTTAACCAATCTCTTGACCAGACCAGATAGAATTCGATAACTGCTTTCAAGTTCTTCGACTTGATCTTGAGTATCTAGCAGTGTTGTTTTCAACCAAGTGATTAATTTGCTTTGATCGGAAGTGGCTGACTCTGTCCCTGGACTACTGCCGGTTCTATTCTGATTTACGCCACCCGGAATAGTTGCTTCTGCACCTTTATCTTTAGAAGAGTTGGTTTTTGGCTGTTTAACAGGGCTTTTCAATATTGTACGTTTCCATAGATAAATGTGATTGAAGTGTAAGCATTGTACGCACATCTTTCACTTCCACATCATCTTCCAAAAAGTCCGACATTTCTTGATCACTTGGTTGTACCCAATCATCGTCCGTGTCGGATGCGACCGCCTTCCCCTTACCTTTTTGGTGTTCTGATCTCGTGGTCTCCACTAATGGTAAAGTTGGTCTCGGCCGAGGAAAAGCAAAACGCCTGTGTTCAAGACTCGGAAGATCCTTGGACGCAGATACTCCTTGAATTTGCCAAAAAAAATCTCAATCAAGCGATCACATCATGTGTTGCGGAGGATATCTGGAAGAGCTTACCAGTTTTTGATTTCGAAGAACTAGCTTGAGGTATGTCAATTGAGAATTCAGGAATTGTAACTGCTCAAAACTCAGTATCAGCTGCCGTTCAGGATCAAGAGCTTAATCTGACACCTTTCACATACTCAAATCATGGTATGTCCTGCAAGCTTTGACAAGCGCATCCTTGTCGAGTCCCCGTGTATCCATCCCCACATCATGTAGCATGTTGACAAGCTGAGACTCATGAAAGACCGAATACGTAACTGTTTCTATTTCCTGTTGCGGAGTCTTGAGAGTTTCCGAAGTAGGTGTACTGTTGTTTCTATGTTTGTCCTGATTGAATTGGCTTGAAGTGTTCTTTGGACGGATAGCTTTTGGTGTTTTCTTGTCCAGCCGAGGCTTCTTAGGCTTGACACGCTGGGCTAGGAGTTCCAGGAGCCGCTCCCGGGATGTCTTCTGACCGACGTGGACGCCCACTTCTTCGAGAGACTCCCTCGGCCCTGTTGGGCGTGCTGGAAGATCATCTGTTCATATTTTGGCAAGAGTCAGTTTCTTTTGGTCGTTTTGGTACCAACACAAACTTTGGTTGATTTCTATTTGAGTATCAGACTTACCTGAAACTACACACGAGTCCTTTTTCCTCTTCTTTCCTTTCGAAAATTCTGCTTGATGGTTCGAGTTATCTTCAGAATCTTGCAAAGTTCGACGATTGGACTGGCGCTGACTACGACGACGTCCTCTGGGAATAGGGATTGATGGCATTTAATTATAAGGATGATATATAAAGTTGCGCTGAGATATATCTAATTATGTGTTCTTAACCGTGCAGACCAGCTGCATAAACAGATTATAATTATTAATGTAGATGAAAACTCTATGAGGTATAATCTTATGACTAGATAGAATGAAAAATGAGAGGATTCTGCTCATGACCTTATAATCTTTTGTTCAGCCATCGAAGTATGATATAAGGCCACAGAAATTATGCTCGTCAAAGTTGTCTTGATGACATCTATCATTGAATGAATTAAAGACTCCATTTGAAAGGGGATATGTAAATGGTAACCGTATACATATACAGATGTTGACAATTCAGGTTTTCAGATCAACGGATTGCCTTTCTTTCATGTCAGTAGTATGCTGTTACTGACATATGTTGATTATTCTAGTGGATCTGGTATTGTAGTTGTTTCCTCGACAACATCATCCACTAATTAGACAGGTGCTCAATCTTGTTGCAGCTGAGTGCAAGTCAGAACATCAGATGACAAGGTGGCATCTACATGCACAGACGATACATCTGTTCCACCTATCAAATAACTCATAATCATTGATTGCAATAATAAAGGCTGTCCATAATCGGGTACATCACATTGAATTTGTACCATATTATCAACATGTGGATTCAATTAAACCATATCATTTGAAGACATTTGAGATTTAGTGTTTAACAAGTCCTCATGTTGATCAAATGCCAATTTCAACATCTATCTGAGGTGGGATGATGGCCCCTTGACCGGTGCCAATACGCAACTGAGGTATTCAAAATAGATTATGTCTTCATTTAATGAGAAAATTCCACGTGTGTATGTATGATGACTGATCCAACTAAATCAGCATTGAAGGTTTTTCCAATGTTGAAGGCATGGTAGTTTTGCTCGTTCTATCCAAGCATCATGAATTCGGGAAACAAAATTTGATCATGAATATAGTAGGTGGATGTTTTCATAAAATACTAGTTCAGAACACAAGTGAGAGAAGTGAAAGTATCTCCCAGTACGAGTAAATTGATAAATTGATAAATAATAAATTCAGTCCTATACTAAAAGGAACTCATATAACCATCATACACTAAGATGCTCCGGAAGAGGGTAGCAACATTGTAAGAGCAACAAAAAATGATCCACAAAAATAGATGGAGGAAAATTGAGAACAGAGAACCAATTGATCTTAAATATCAGATAGAAGACTTGTTACTACCAACAGAAGACCCAGCATCAGTCTGGTCGTCATCAGCCCCTTGTTCCTCACTGTTTGATCCATCATTAAGTAAACTAAGCAATGCTTCATCATGAGCTTTAATGGCATCATTAGCTTCTTGCAATTCCCAGGTCATTTTTTGTAGTCCAGCCTTGAGAGTTTCCGTCGCTTCTTTGATGCCATGCTTAATAGAGCCTTCGATACTCTTTTGAACCTCCTCCTGAATTTGCAATATAACATGCTCTTGGAGATCACTGAACCGAGCGACCTCCTTTTCTAGGTGATCAACGCGCGCCTCAAGCGCATGAACTATACGTCAATGATTTTTATTCACATAATCATCATGTCAGCTTAATCAAGATCAGTGGATTTTCACAACGCTTCATAATCAATATAAACTCGCCTTGGGATACTTTGCGTCTCTCAGCTTGAAAAACTTCGACACCTGACCTCTTCTTCTCGTTTGACGTGATGAGAGAATCTAGTACAATTGATGAAGGTTTGTTATCGGGAGAAATAGGTGTGATATCTCTACCAATAACTGATCCAGCCAAAGAAACAAACGGTCAGATTGGCCAAACCACAGATCCCATTTGAACTAACCAATGTTTTCGCCTTCAAAAAAATCCTTCTCTGTAAAAGTTATAAAGTCCTCTGTGTAGAGTTCATTATTGTTTTCTGTATTTAGAGGGGTAACATCCTCCGGGCTCACAGACACAAGATTTCCTTCTTGAAGACTGTCTGCCGGGGTGAGATGTGTTGATGGATTAGAATCGGTGGGTAACAGAGCTGAGGATAAATATGGTGGCGTTTTTGGCATTATACTGTATCGCTCAACGTCACATGCTGCTTTATCGCCACCCTGAATACAAGCGTTGGAATAACATCCAAGTGATAGACGATGTGTTCGTGAAGAATCATGATTGTTCTGGTGTGATGATCTTCACATAAGCTTGTATATCAACGATTGGAATAGGCAGGGACAGTGTTGGATGGAAGACAAAATTGACACACCGGATTGACTGCTGGTTTGAACGGAATACCCGGAGAAGCTTGAGCACAATCAGATCTAACTGACGTCCTATCATTCTTAAGCTCATGATCACCACTAGACTCTGGATTGGTCGAGTCTGCAAATTGGACACCCTGAAGTCCGAAAACAAATGTGATGAATGTGACAAGCCTTGTACAAGCCCGTGAGGATTACACATAAAAAAGATGTACTAACTTTTTTCTTCATCACCTTGATCTCATTCCTTTTGATCGATAAAGCCTTTGAGTCTTGCGATGTTGCCTCAAGCTTCTTGAAAGAAGCGGTGGCTTTGACTGATACAGCTCGTTTTTTTTGTACTGGTTTTGTCTCGGGAGAAGCGCAACGTTTCTTCTTAGAAGATTTCGTGGAGACTGGAGCACTTGGTTCTGAGACTTCATTACTTGCAGGTGATGCCTTTGGGTTGGTATTGATCTTTGAATCAGGCGCTGGAAGTCTGCGAGTTGAAGATCCTGTTGGCATTGAGGTGTCCGGCTTGCGTGTGTGATTACCAGAAGATCGCATGCGTCCATTAGGAAAATCTGTAAATTATGATAAGCAGAAATAGATGGATAAGTATTTTACGAGCTTTTATGATTATGGGGTAGAGAAAAAGAACAGGAGATCTCCAAAGATTAATTTATAAGCAAAGGTGTCGGCATTACATTCAGGTTGAGCTTCTCTGACTAGATTTGCAATTTCGTCCCTACCCATGCTTGTCATGATTGGAGTCTTAGGGTGATTGATGTGCATCCAATCAAGCATCATCTGCTTGTTGATGCCTCGGGCATCTGGGTCAAGCATCTTCAAAGCTATAGGAAAAGGTAATGATGTGGAAGTAAAAAAAGATGGAGTTGCTGAAAGTTGATGTCGAGAGGGCGACTTTAATTTTATCAAGTACTGTCTTATTCATAAATTCGATAGATGGTTTGTATCATCAGATCAGCGTGGAAATTGCAACCAATCCGCTTTCTATGGGCGACTTGCTTGTGGCATATAATCAACTGATGGTTTCCTTATTATCAGTTTAGTCAGCAGTCATTACAATATAGTTTATGCATCACCCAGATCTTGGCTCACCAAAGTAAGAGCGGACGACCCTCATACACCGGTGCCCTTAAAGAATTTATATTGGGCAAGATTCAATATGTAGCTCTTCTTTTAATGTAAGCATACAGCAATGTATGTAACTGTCTCAATCTCATGTCAATTACGGATCTGTGTAATTCTAAATGTTGAATCACATATGAACTGTTGTAAATTGTAATTGGGAGATGACTGGGATGTCTGATGGATACAAAGTTCCCTTTTTCAATGTTTTCGAAGCAAATCTCCAAAAAAAACATACAGTAGCAAGAATTTGATGGATTTTGCTTATTAGTGTGACATTGTAGATCTGTGTAACTTTGTATTATCCTGAGATGCCCATATCCTTGACTTACATAGGTGGGTCTCAGGATTATAGAGCCACAGGAGTCACAGATTATGAAGATAATCTGAATTACAGATTAATAAAATAATCTGAGATCATGTGACTTATGTTGCTCCTAATTATCTTTTCTGCTCGGAAAATATTAATTTTGGCGTAGTGTGACACTCGGCGCAACACCGCCATGTTTGAGATGAGTGTCGAGTCGGTCCAAGTCTTCATCAAGCCATCTAACATAAGAGCAGAGTTCAGACTGAGGCACTGAAAAGCGTATGGAATGACTGCAATCGACCAGGATTTCGCAACCAAGCGCAAGCTCAAGAGTTGTGTTGTGAATGTGGGGTGCGAGAATGTTTGATTGGCGGAGTTAAGGGTATCGATCTCACCCCTATAAGATGATTCAATCAAGTGATGTAAGATGATTTCGACGACCTCCACAGGTAAACCGTTCACCCGAATCATGATCAAACAGACCAATATGTTAGGGAAATGATCAGAGGTCGCTTCAGCTGAGTCCAGCACTCACCCCTTGCTATTAAACATAGTATCAGGCTCTGCTCGGTACATTCTTGAGTATTGTGTAACACGCAACCTATTGGGGTTGAAATCAATTCACAGTCAGTTTCACACTCACCTTCCGTGATTTACCCCAAAGGTTCAAAGGGCTCATGGAAATCTAACTACCCGTATATTGAAGAATTGCTTTCAAACTTCTTGACATACGAAGTTGCAAAGATCCTTAACATAGTTGATTGCAAGCCACACTGCCAGGATTAAACACTGTCCCTGATGGAATAATGATCACTTTTGCATTAATTGCTTAGCATTTATATGGCAAAAATTAATTATCCCAAAAAAGCAACACATTATCCCAATTAGGACAGTGTTTAATCCTGGCAGTGCCATCAGAGTTTCATCCCTAAAATCTCTGAGCAGATCAGGCAAGAATTTTAGATTGGTATCACCTGGACTTGACCGGTAGTTTTGTGGCCGTAAGTAAACCAATCAAAGACATTGGCCCAATGTCAAAACCGAGATTCGAGCAATTCCTAGAGTCATTGCGGTCAGACAACAATAAGGAGTCAGCACAAACCAGCCACCATGAGCAGCGCTTAATCTCAGAAGACTGTCACGGACTTGATATTCCGAGCCTTGTTATCCAGATAGATCAAGATATCTGCTCAAGCCGAGAAGTAATCTCGCAACTTGGAGAGCGCCCCAGTCAATATGTTAGGTCTTAAAGCTCCTCACAATCAAGGTCCAATCCTCGAACCGACTCCTCGTTGACCTCGCTGTGCAACAAACCACGTCTTACACAGAGATTCACTTATTTTTTCTCTGCCCCTTTAACACCCTTGAACAGTTCTCACAATGATGACTGATCCAATGTACACGTAGCATGCGACAGGAATGGTTCAATAGCAGGAACCCAAATTAGTTCAGTATCTTAAAAAGGGCCTCAGTGATTTGGGTCTTTCATTGAATATGCGCAGGCTGTTATTCATTTTGATGAATGATCATGAGTACAGTGTTTCGAACTAAATCATACAAACTCAATTTGTCGTATAGGATATGAAGTTTTTGAATAATATCCACAAATCTACGCTCTGCTATTGATGTCAAGAAATAATAATGAGCAAACAACTTTGAAAAAGAGGTCATTGATCAATATCCACACGCCAACATCAAAACATATAGAAAGTGCCTAATTAATTAACACTACAAAAGATTTCCAATTTTCCAAGGGGAATTTTTTTGACTGCAGGAATAATTATTTGGCCCAATCAGACCAGTCCTGCCTAACTCAGGCAACCCAGGCTGAGCCCCGACCCAACCAATGTAGGTAGTGGCCTCCCTGCGCCCGCCCCCAAGCCTTACCCTGACCTGCTTTCTCTCAGGAGCCCCACCCAAACCTGAGCCCAAATGCCTGAAGCATGCGGGGAGACAGGGCAGCCACAAATAAACTTGAGGGCTTTAGGCCTATGCCCCGCCCCTGTTCCCGTCAGCCCGCTGTATTGGGAACCCAGAAAGCTTGATGACCAAACCCTCAGCCCAAGGGTTTGAGGGCTAGGGACCCCTTGGGGTGTTGGGTTTGGGGCTCAGCCTGATGGCCAACCAATACTTAGCCCGCCATGCCGTATAACCTTTGGATGCCAATGAAAGACTGTGGACTAATGGCTGTGCAACATTAGACAAAAATTACAAACACTCTGACCGACATGCAGTTCTTTATACAGCCTTATATGTAGCTAGACATATACTTTTTCAAAGGATGTGTATGTGTGGATAACTTCCACTGAGGGTACCATGGACTAGAACACAAGGCAAGAATGGTTAAAAGTTCACCCAGATGCAACATTCAAGTACCTCAATGCATTTATATGCCTCAGGATGATCCCTTGAAGGGAGAACATTCCAAGATATATATAGACTATATGTATATGGCCATGACTCTAAACTATCAGCCTCACCTTCAACCCAATTGAGGTACTTGAGAGTTGAGAGATACATGAAGGCCAAATACATTAGGAGTGTAACCTGTTTACACTTTTTCATCAGGATCATTCACAAGTCTTACGCACACAGCCATGATAGCACATTCCACTTGTAGTCTAGCCAAACTCTATACATTCTTTTGGTAGCTTTGTATCTCAATGACCCCTCTTCTCTTTCACTTGCCTTTGACTTTCCATACTTTTGCCCCATCTTTTCACATCACAATAAGTTTCATTACATCAAGGTTAAAATATAATGCTGTAAATTGTTGGTCATATTGACCAGCCCAAAGAGAAATGAAGGGCTTTTCCAACACATCATATAAGGAATTGTTGGACTTACCATATATGTAGGTGAGGACTTGATCAATGTGGTAATATGGATGCCTGGATGATAATGAAGGCTGTATAGATCCAAACTAGAGCGTGAAACAACTTGTATAATTAGTTTCATGTATATCAGACAAGAAGCATGGAAAGATAAGTAATATAAATACAGCATCATCAAAATGATCTACTCGCGGTCTGTTGAAATCAGTGCAATGGTTGAGACATCCAGCCCTGGGTGAATGACTCCAGGCTTATATGTGACAAAACTACAATTTGAGATGATGTCTGTGATGTGAATGAGCTCGGCCGAGTCGCATTTATTTAGGAACAAATGCACCTGCATAGCTGGCTCATTGAGCAACATACACGGGTTTGGTTTGCTGGATGGTATGGGTTTAAAATACTCAACACATGCCCATGTGTCATAGATTGACGCCTGACCCACTACAGGAACACGCCCATGTGTAAATATCGAAGTAATCTTTCCAAACCTTGTGACACCTGTTTCCTTGATTAACACTTCAACAATTGCATCCGATGGCTGGACCGAGAAAATTGAAAACTTAACATCAGACTGTGTTGCATGTTTATATCTCTTGTGAAATTTGGCCTGAGCAACTGTAGGTGAATACCCTCTGCGGCCAGCAGGTGATAATGCAGACCACATTTGCGAGCTTAACCAAGATCGGCCTTCAAATTGTTTGTCGTTGAGCTTGTCGATCAATTGAAGGAAGAGTTCTTCATTGAGTGGCTGTAAATCATGTATTGGTTCGGTCTTTCGTTGGGGAGGGAGAGGATCAAGCAGGCTCCGCAATTGGGGTAGGTATGGCTGGACCTCTGAAGGAAACTCGCCCTCTTTCAAGAGAGCACTTAGGTTACCAGCTCGGCCAAAGGTTTTCATGAATGTGATCTCCAATTCACCTGTTGGGAAGATTGGAGCACAGAGTCAGTATTCATAACTGTGACGAGCATAGAAGACGTTTGAAAATGAGAAAATAGTACTTACCAACATGATTGTTGTGATTCGAGAGGAGCACGCGACGCATTAATCGTTCGAAAGGATACGACCACCATGAACGCACAGGGCCAAACTTTTTCAAACATTCAGCTAAATGAGATACGATGTGGTGATTTGTAGCAAGTGAGCAATGTGGAAAGAGAACTAAGGAGCTCTCAAGATAACAACGGGTGTGATTTTGAAATTGTTCAATTCGCTGAGAAGTCATTGATCTCTTAAGTGCAAGATTCGTAAGCGAGACAAGATGAGCAAAATTCTTGAGAAGCGAGGAGTTGAACTGAGTATCGTGAGTGGTGCTGCTCCACATGGGCACAAGTATAAGTGGCAGTTGTAATGTCATGAGAGTCCGCCATTCGTCAGCCTTGAGCTTTCCAAACGAGGCTTTACCCAAGCATGGTATAGCACGACGGATCCATGTCGGCATGCAGATTCGTTTTAGTATGCCATTGATCTTAGCAAGCATCTGTTTGTCAAATTCGATTCGAGTATCATCAGGTGGGGTCCATTTACCGTTCCATCCTTCAAAGAGAAGCGGATCAAAGTCGTCGTCACTAGGGTCGGTGTCGCTGTTAAATGCAGGTAGATCACGAAAGTTGATGTTACTGTCCGAGGGAGGTTCTGACGATTCTATGGCTGGTAGATCCTCTTCAAGAACTGGTGCGGGCGCCAGATCAGTGGTAAGTAGAGCGCGTAGCTCAGCAGAACTGAACGGATCACCTTCTGGATTGGTGTCAGCATCATCTGACATAGACCAGAAACATCAAACATGCCAGTTGAGGAGTCCAAGAAGAATATTGTGCATGCTATCAATCACCTGATAATCAATTAATTTCCAGTACTTGAGCTCGCAGAGTACAGAGTAGCGGACACCATGTTCCTTGAAGATCTTGGCTCTCTTTTCCCGCCTTCCCGCATCATGAGACGCAAAAGCCCATTTTTTGTGCTCTGATGAAGTTCGTCGTTTCCATGAATCAGGATCGATATTATTGACATCATGTATTGGAAGGAAGCAAAAAGAACAAAAGTTTGTTGATCTGACACCTGCCAGTCCTAAAGATCTGCGCAGCGCTGGAAGATCGGCGATAACAGGTAAGAGAGCCGCTCGTATGAGCCGACCGTCAGGATGCATAGGAGTGCGCGAAAGTCTCAGTCCACTGTCCCAAAGTGACTGGAGCTCCAGGACGATCGGTGAGAGGATCCAGTTCATCTGTTCGAGAGCAGGTTCATGTGGACCAGGGGCGATCGAGACCAGAAAGATGTTTTCGGGAAGAAATCTCAGTCTGTACGGCAAAGTGAGACAAACGAGAACTACGAAGGTTATCAAGACTTTTCGACCAGCAGTTTTGTTTCCGAAGGGATTGATTCCATCGATAAACATTCCAAAGGTGATGTTCCCACTTCTTGCAGTGAACTGGGAGTCATCATTGTCTCGAAAATCTTTCCAGGCTAAGGACTCGTGGATATCGTGCACCGGATCAGATGGATTGTACGGTTTGCGTGACTCAAAGAGGGATTGGTCAAGAGCCTCCTCGATTGAAGGTCTACATACAAAGTTGGCCAGCCACATACGAAAGTTCTGGAAGGCACATTGTCTTATTGGTTTCGTTTTATTCTCATCTTTGAATAAGGCCTCGCAACATTGTCTTGGCAGCTTGGTTCTGGAGGAAGAAGGGATTGGTTGATGACAGTTGGGTAAATCGACATCCGAATCGGCATCCGTGAGTCCAATGACGCTAGCGGAAGTATGGACGCATCTTGCTGGTGCTTCTGATGTACGATACAAGGCAAAGCAAGCAGGACAGCAAACAAATAATGTTAACTTCGGATCGACCTTAAGCCAAGATAAAATCGTGCCGATGTGTCGAGGTATTGCACCGCCCAATTGATTCACGTAAAGGAGGGGGTCCGGATGATATTCTTTCAGAGTGAGCTCGATTTGATCTTGCTGTGCGCTCAACATCCATGCCGAGGTATGTACTGAAGCATGCTCAAATATTGACAGCATGGCGACTACCAGAGCGGCATGAACAACGACCGGTTCGGCTAACATGAAGTCGCGTTTGAAGAGAGAAGCTGCGAGCAGGAAATGCTGAGTCAGCTCTGGAACCGAATTAAATCTTTGGGATCACTAACTGGTATCAATGGACACTACTTCACTGGTTCCATCTACCATATTAAAGTCCTCATCTAGTGCGGATGCACGGCTAGTAATGGGCCGATTGGTTGAAGTTGAAGGCTGATTCGGCAGTCTTGAATGGCTGGCTATCGAGCGTGGATCAGGAGACATAAGGGCTTGATAACGGCCGGGTCGAGGTGTAGTAGGGGATAGATTAGGCCGGCCAGATAAGTAAGGTGGGCTTGGAATACTATCTTCGTCTAAAATCGTCATCCTATCTGGCCTGAGGGCTGATACTCGTTTGAGAACCTCCAATCGCTGGTCGGCCTTTTGATGAGATTTATACGACATTTGCGAGATTAAGACGCCCTTTTCGTTCATTCGTCCTAGCCCATAAGGATCCTTGCCAGATGAACAACCCTTGGATTGACAGGTACACACGCGCAGCTTCTCAGACTTTGCACGACCGTTAAACATCTTGGTTATCGAATCGAGAGCGGGCAGCTTGATCAGTGAGTAAAGAAGGAAGGATTGATCGAATGGAAGGATGATAAAGTTTGAAGCGTCAATCAACGTTTAGATTCGGATGAACTCTTCTACATATGTACGTAATGTCAAAATAAGAAAGCTTTTTTCAAGAAGGGTGCAAAGGCTCTCGCATTCGTGGTTAGTCGTTAACATGAAAGAGCTGCAAAATTCACGTATATACTATTCATTTCAACAAAGTGCATGCATATAGGGCAGGAGAGGGCAGGTCAATTACATACTATATTTGCACACAGCTATACAACTCTGATAATACATTTTCGAATAAAAAAGTCACTGCTACTCAAGAGGAATACCCTAGCAAACTAGAATCTAACAAAATGCCCAGAAAAAAGTCAAATTGGCACCAAAATGAATCAATAGACGTGAGAGGCTCACGTTTCCTCTTCTTTTGGATTAGCACCAGAGGCCTTTTCGATGATGAAGTAGTGGACTCCGGGACAAAGCTGAGCATCAAGTTCGATGTTTTCGTGTATAAAACGTTCGTAAAGTGCACGCAAAATCGGCTCGGTGCAAGAAGCAATAGGGATGAAGAGGTTGGGGTAGGTGACTTGTAGATGGTATCTAAGAACATCTCGCTTCTTGCCGGGAAGCTCTTTGACAGAAAAGAAATGAAAAGAGGCACAGAAATCGACCGGATCGTCTTCTACAGGACCGTTTGGACCATCAAAGACGTGCTTCCACAGTCTGACTAGCGCAGCTTTGGTCAACGTTGATGGCACAAAACAAGACTTGATCCGGGTGAGAACAGCCGTGCGAATGTCGTTGAGTGATGCACATGACAAGTTCAAGTAGGCCGCTTGTTTCTTTTGTGAGTTCTCTTGGTTAATCGCTGCAGCGGTTTTTGTCGCAATGAAGGGGGAAAGATTGGGCTGAAGGTGTTCATTGTAATTCGCGATTAACTCTTGTTTTTTGAGGGAACTTTTACGAAGCTCGGGTCTAATATTGAAGTGCCGCATGATATCAGTAAAGAACTCCTTCTTGCAAGACTTTTTCGAGAAATCGACATCGGGTGTGAGGAAAAATTTTAGATCGGGATGTAGAGTTTGCACAAGTGGCCAGAGTGGGTTCGCTGTTAAAGCTTCAGCTGATGAAGAGGTTGCCATCGGAGGTTTAAGAGGCTAGATAACAGAGTTGAGATGCGAGTAAAATACTATAGAGGTGGTAGTGATTGTAATTGAGATATTTGAATATGATTAGATGGTTTAAATGTGGACGAATGGATGTTATGGGTAAGTGGTTGTTGAGAAGTGACCTGTTTGCCTCAATTCAAAAGCTCGAGAAGCCTCTATATATATATAAAAGACAGGTAAAGTTTTTCACTGGCTTGAATCAAGGGGACGAGATGATGAAAGAAATGTGCTACGCTTAGAAACACCTAGCCTGTGTTATACATATGAGGATTCAATACTCAGGCGATGTTCAGTGAGTTTTATCACTCAAAATAAGATGAACAGTGCTCAAATAACACAGTCAGAGTCTCAGTAACAGCGAGATAGCTAAGGACATCGCAAAAAACTAGCAGATCAAAAAGAAATGGACCAGCTCAATCGCTGATGACCCATGAGACCATTCATCCAAAGTTTCGCACATGTGAAACTTTGAACTTGACGCATGAATAGAAGAATAACAAGGAAGATATAGGGATGGTCATGGATCGAGCATACATATAATACTATTACCAATATCACAAAGAAGCAAAGCTTACCGGTGAGAATCGACTATAGCTTTAAGAAAGCTCAGCGCGAATTTGCTTTACTCAAAGCAATTTCGAGATCAAAGTTTGTCAACATATCTAGAGTAGAAGTAGGTAGGAGAATCGAGGTTTGAGTATAATTAAACATGGAGATGCGGTTTTGCGTTCATGTCTAGATTACATAGTAAGAAATCTAAGCCTGACAGTCACCTTGCATCACATGACCGGGAAAGAAAGAGGCTTTGAAAATGAAGCAATTAACCAAAGAAGAACAATGCAGGAAAAAAGAGACGTCCTAGTTCATTCCCTACAATATGACATCTACAGATACAGAGACTTTCAATAAAATGACCAAATTGAATTGAGAAGACAAAGAAGGCTAAGGTTTCCTGAACTCCTACTCAATCCTAGATTAACCCGGTTTGAAAAACATTCAGCTACAATGAGTGAGAATAAGGTAGTCCAGAAAATCAGAGAAATCGTCCTGGTCCACATCAAGCGTTTCCTCAGAATCATCATGGCCATTGTGTTCGCCGGTGTGGTCTGGATCAAGAAACTGCTCATCCTGCGTAAGCTCTACCTCTATGACTTTGTGACGAAAGTTATAGACCAGTTTCAAAATTTTTGACTCGACAACTTTGAGTCTCTCAAGGTTCGGATAACCAAGAATGATGATGTTGGCGTCCATTGCTGCCATCTGCACAAACGCTTCACCAATGGCACCAGAATCATGCAAAGTGATGGATTTGGTGAGGGAAGTCACAGCGAGGTGCTCCCATGAGAGGTCTATAAATTTGAGCCAGGCTCGAGGGCCATGAAGATCGACATCCTGCCATATCCTGAATACGAACATGCAAAAAATTCGATTAAGTGAGAAGCTGAGTGAGAGTGGGAGAATGATGATTTCTTACACTTGACGTGCAATTTTTTGCCACCCTTTACAAACTTCAGAAAGGACATAGCGATGAACCCCATTTTCAAAGACTTCGATTCGAGAGAAGATGTTGAGCTGAATGCAGGCTGGAATTCTGGCCCAGTCGAACCTTCGGTCTAAGTCGATGACCGATTCTGCCACTGATCATGAGCACAAATCAAAACGTGGATGGGTTTTCCATGGAACATTAAGTCAGTCATCTTCGGCCTTCTGAAAAGAAATTAACATAATATAAGGGATAGGTATTCACTAACTTGATTTAATCTTATTGAGACTGAAAAGTAGAGGAAAAATCGTGGATCACCAGAGTTCTACACTTCAAAGTAAATCTGATGAAGATGAGCTCAACATTCAATAGTCAATATGAAGCTGGACGCTTTCATACTCAAAGTGGTCCAACTCAACGCAGGGCTCAACACCTCTTTGTCTCCGTCACAGAAGAACACTTCTTTGTCTCCGTCAAAGAAGACTTTCGGAAATTCAGCATCCTTGGTTGACCTTCCCCCACGGCGGCTTGAGTGGAGTCTTCAATCACGTGGTCTGTGAGGTCGTAGGTTAACACGACTCAAAGGGGACGTCTTAATATAAACAATCGGTTTTGGAATTGTGATAAATATGAGACAGAGACACGAATATTTTTGAGATTCATGATGTGGCGGCGTTGAGGTTTGTTGTCTCATCTTCGTGGTATGCCCGACGATGTGTGAAAAAAAACCTATGTCCAGATCTACTTGTTGAAAAGATGACAAGTAGCAAAGGTTCAGAGGGGAATCACGGTGAATGAAGGTAACTTGGTTCTTGAAATGAAGATCCCAAAATTCACTCGAATATCAATTTTGACCCGTGTCACCTTCAATTGAGAAGGCGAGATGATTCAGATCCATTCATTGCAGTGGGTAGGTGAACCGTGCCATTGTACAAGCCATCAGAGCGTCGGAGGGCGAACTGACTGATCGCAAACTCTGGTATCTTGCCGAGACACGGTGTAAAACCCCCTTGTGCCATCTCATGATCGTTATACAGTTGTAATCCCTTTGAGTTTTGGTGATCTTACGACTTGAACGTATTATCGAGAAGAGAGAAAATCTATGAATCAAGCCACACAGGTGGAAAAAAATTGGAGGGATCTGAGGTCATTTTTTGAAAGTTGAGAGAAGGTGACTCGAGATTCGGTGTTACTCGTGTGTATGTAACCGGTGAAAGTTGATCACATACAAAATGATGTAGATGTGACAGGTAATATTACTCCTGACATGCACTGTGACACCTTGGGTCCGATGCGAACTGGCTGAACTTGCTGAGCAACAATTCAATTTGGTGAGGACGTGTACCTCCGGAATCCGTTATCTCTACACATCGCTCTCTTTGACCCAGTTTATAAAATCTTTTCAGGTAATTCCCTTCCTGTTCTATGCTGGACTACCAGAACTTGATTGCTCTTCTATGATTTTAAAGTAGTGTACACAAGCCTTATTTGTTGTTTGTAGATTTCTCGCCTTCGTTATTGTGTTCTATTTGTCGAGGATATCAATATTTGTAGTGCTCTGACATGTTTCATTCTTTTTTTCGTTTGTTTGATTATATACAACTACAAAGAACATTAAATCTCTGATATATTACGTGGACCCTTTCCCTCACTTTGTTTTTCATTAATCTGGGGTTTACCTTACGAAGTTAATTAGTCAAATGAATGGCTGTGCATCATCGTACCATTTCACGCTTTGAGCCATCAATTGGAGCGACGTGGGGTTCTCTAAACAGGTCCTCAAGATCATTCTTGAACAAACGAGCGACAACATACTCATGACAAAGGGGAAGCGGCTATACCCTCAGTCAAATGATCATCATGCTGAGTTGACTCACCGAAAATTCACTGCACCGAGTTCAGTGGACATAGATGTATACCAATTTCATTTTCTATTTGAGAAGGCACTTCCTGAATTCTGATACTCACAAATTCATCCAGTTTTCAGTATGGCCTCCCCAACTGGTGTCGAATCTAATCCTACTCCAATCCCATCTTCACCGAAGGCAATATCTTCCGACGCCTCGTACGATTCTTACCACTCGGCTGAATCTCACACTCTCGCTTCCTCCGAAATTTCAGATCCTTTCATTAGTGATGAACCTATCAATGCTCCGCCCCCTCCATCGTCCGTCATCTCCTACCAGCTTCAAGCTATAGTTTTACACGACCATCTTCATAAATTTTTAGTTGTTTGTGACAACACCGCCGAGGTACCCACGGCCACCAAAAACGAGCTTTTAGAGGTCCTTGCCTGCTTCCATCCGGGACTTCGTTTGGACCCAAGAATCGAGGAGGCAACTTTATCAGAGCTATTCAAGTTACTTGTCCGGCCTTATTTCGAAAGCATGGAGGATTTCGATGAAGAGACCAATGCGATGCTCTATTGGGGCGTACCCTTTGATATGAGTCCAAGCGGTTATCAGGTATGTCACTGCATAATCCAACTGATCTCCAAAGAGCCTTCATCTATCAGATTCACAATACTAATATTTGCATGAAGCCATGCTTGATTTCACTCAGTTGTTGACTGTGAAGAATTTCGGCTACATATCTGTACTACATGTGACTCTCGAGGTACCTGCGCAGAATTTTTTTTCAAGTACACCACGGCCTTTGTTCATTTTGCCTCATAGCGAATTCTATTCTGGCTTTTCAAAATCATTCTCAATCTTGATCCGATTCCTCGATTACTCAGTCTCTTGTAGTTTTACGTTTCATCTTGAAAACCCACTATTTTAAACTTTTTCTCTTTTCACTTTATCTGTACTCCAACGACTTTTCGACTTCTTGGATCACCCAACATTCTCAATTCCCACGAGTATCTTCATCCTTTACAAAATGTCACCCTTATATCCAAAGATAACCGTGCTTACCACTGAGAGCGTTAATTGAAATTGACACCGGCTGCTTGTGTAATTGAGATCAAATCAATTGTGTAATGGATCTACATATTCACGTTTTAGGAAGTCTCTATCTCTTGTAATGAATTTCATTTCTCTTTGTTTGAATGATGTGTCTTGGATTTCTCAGGGTGTTGTTGTTTTTTGTAAAGTGAAGCTATCTAACACTGTTTCACATCAGATCTACCGTCTTGATTCTTGAATGACAAACCTACGAATTCGCCCTAACTGAAACTGATAGTCGAGTGTACTTGGATGTCCAAGAGTAATTGACCCGCCCGAGGATTTAGTCAAGGGAGGCTATGTACTCGGGCGGTGGGAGTTTGATAGTTTAGGGATCAGCTAAATAGGATTTAGCCGTTTGGTAGGTTTTTTAGTAAGGTACATACTATCTATGTAGAACTTTCTAGAGAGTCATTTAGAACACCAATCCACACAACTCGCTGTCGTTCATATCACACCCTTCAATTCACCTTACCATTCACCTTCTTTCTTTAAGCTCAAAACAATTTCAAGTATCATTCAACACAGCTTCCTTCGATTCAGAACGCACCATTCGATTTACCTTGACTCTTTGACCTGAAAATAATTATCGTCTCCAGGTATGTATTTCAAAAGAACACTTCATTGAATGACATCTTCCATCGTCATTCCACTGATAATAATACCCTACATTCCAGATTTACATCAACTTTGAATGGATATACATACGAGCACATTGAAATCGCTCATTTGCTACGATGAAGTATTATGAAATTGACGTAGGATGTTCGCATCGATCCAATGGGAATACATTATCGTAAGTTGCTAGAGGTTTATATTACTTTGTTCAGATGTACGACCTTCATTGTTACCTTCAATCATCCTCCTTAATACCAAATGTAATGACTGACTTACGTGTTTACATGTGCTTTAATTCTTATCTTTGGGCCTTTGATACATCAGCACAAAGGTCTCAATAAAACGCTTCCATTCATATTTCGTCTTCGAGGGTTCTTTGATTGTCATTTTGGGCGGTATCTAATCTTTTTTGTGCTCATTTCTAGATAGACAAATTATACAAATGGCTCACCTTACCAGTTCCCCTCAATCTTCAAACACACTTCAAGCTCGTTACATGCAGGTCAACTACTGCGATCATGAAGAACCCCCAGATCAGGAGTGCCAACATGTTGATCAACATGTTACGGAAGACAACACCAGTAATCCTTGTCCGTCATCATTTATAATCCAAACCCAGGCGGACCATGTCTTCTCATTGTGGCTCATTCTTACTTTTCCATTCAAGCTATAGGCTGTCAATCTCGACCCACTCAAGATGATAGCAAACAAGATAGCAAACAAGCAATCCCCATATGTAAGTATCTCCACCGTGTGTCGATTTACTTGCACTTTTCACTTACTACGGCCTCCTTCATTATAAGCGTGGAAACTTTCAGAGACTGTGGATAAGGCCAATTCTTCCGAAGTGGATCCCAAGCAGACGTGTGTTGAAGAAGAAGACCCATTTGTCATGGTCATGGATATTATAGAGTTTGTAAGAAACGATATCTCTCTTGCTCCAGGTGCCTTATATTTTTACTCTCAATTCTTTTCCGATCTTTCCAAGTCATTCAGCTCTGACCATGACAGATCCATGTACTTTTTTTTACTGAGGGAAGTTCAGAACTAACATGTCTATTTCAATGATCACTTTTCTTTATAGATTCAATCATTCAGGCGTCTAGATCACTAGGGATCCATGCCCAGAAGTGCCGCTCACACTGAGTCAACCGTGGTGTTCGATTGCATTTTGAACAAGCAAACGTTATTTTTCTGATGGGTCTACACTTGTTGCTCCTTTGTTTTTCTGGTTTTGTGATGAGGGCTACCTTTTTCCTCGAGAGATACTTGCTTTAATACTATTCGACATGTTGGGAGTGAAATTTACGCTGTTGTTTCAGTGCCATCAGCACCCAAGATCTTTTATGGGACTTCTGTCTGATTAGGAATATCAGTTTTCACGTTACTTCTGCTGAGTAAATTTTACCGATCGTCCAGACCTTTCAACCGAAAATTTGATTAATCTTCACAATCCCAGCCAGTAAACTTCAACATCTATGAGTTGAATGAAGTAACAGTACTGATTCCTCCTTTTGGCATAGAACAATTGCAAACTACCCGGTAGTCATCCAACTTCTGTTGAAGATCCAATCACACATAACATTTGGATTCAAAACGTGCGTTGAACCCCCTTTCAGACATGGATCACCCTAAGTCTAGGCTGACCTTTTCACATTCATTGTTGATTTTTTTTACTGAGTTCTCCCTTTAAAAAAGATGAATGGTATTTTGACAAACCAGGTAGGGAAGCTCAAAGGCACTCAGCACTCAGAATAACAAATCCGCCAAGCTTCTTCCTCAATGGGGGTATTCTGCTCTAACATCTTTCTTTGATAACAGCCAAACCCATTTATAATGTCTCATCTTTCATACTTCAATTCATTCGTTCCTCGCTACTGGTGCTGGACTCCGGTCATATTTATAATCCTAGTTCTCACCCCGAATTTTTTCTCTGACCAATATTCCCTGTTATATACTTTCAATTTTTTCGGCCGAACGCCTATTCTCCTCGTTAACTGTGCTGGACACAAACCAACCTGACTTTTATTCGTTTTTTTCCGTTCATACCTTCCCTTGCTCTCAGCGAATCTTAATTACAGACACTTTCTTTTCACTTCTCAACTTCTTTGAACCCAAGTCAAGCTGGTCTTGCCAAGTTGAATAAACATAACATATTGGCTTGATCTGTGAATATTTCTGATCAGTCCGCACTTTAGTTCACTTGGTCTCTGTTTTGGTTACAGAATAATCTCGTTAAAACCCGATTCAAGATGCCACAGACACGAAGTCAGAAGCGAAAGGCAGAGCTCGATACACGGGCTGCTACCGAGTGTAGATGTAAGTTGTTCCTTATCTAAAGTTTCTCCAAGTGGTGTTTGTTGATTAGGATGTTGAATCTGTGTTTGTAGTGCATATCCAACAAAACGAGGGAATATCCGAAGCGACTATGAGATTAACTCTGATACAAACTGGTGTCTCTGTTGGTGTATTGGAAGGAATCTCCTCTTCCGCCCTTCAAAGTCTCTATCATTCTCGAATCACAAAGTCAAAAAAAACAAAAACCCACGCCGGCGTTCAACAAAATCATAAGCGAACTTACTGCACTTGGAACTCCAGGGCTCGACAAAGTGCGACAATTCCCACTAGTGCTTCACAATATTATAAAATGAGTAAAGAGGAGCTTTTGGAAATTTTGGAGCCATTTGATCTCAATAAAGAGTCCCTCAGTACTACAGCTCTCGCAAAACTATGCTATCTGTATCATTCAGAAATAAATGGTGTGTACCTTCTCTTAAGCTATGTTTCTTTTTGAGTGTTTCTCGCACTGATTCTGTTTCTATACAAATTCACTATGGGAAGCTTTGAAAAATCGAAACAACAATAAACAACCCACATCTCTCTCGCTGCGACCACCAATTGTCACGGAGGATATTGCTATCGATCATGACAATCCCCGTTACTCAAAACACACCCATCTTCGCTCACCAGCTGATAGTCCTAGTTCCACACCGAACCCAAGCGGCATGAATGAAGGTTCATCTAGTCGACTTATTGATCCCAACCCCGCCGCAGGAATAACTCGCTGCACTACTGACGATCAAGATAATCAATCTGATGAAGGTGATCAGCTTAATGATGATTTCGGTTCTCATGATGCAGGTAGTGTCGTTTTTATCAATCTCATTGAAATTTTCTTTTTTGCTCTATAGTACCACTGATGCATTTCCCTTTTTTATGACATAGGCAGCAGAAAAGCACCGCAAAAGACACTACTAACAGCTATTCCAGACCATGATGATAGCACACCAAGCCTGTCACCAAGACCATCTCGTCGTATAATCCAATCATCTCCTTCTTTTGATAACTTTCAGATTTATACTACGAAGCGGCATCAAGACTGCATTACGAAATCTCCAAACGACCAGGATCAGTCTGATCCAGATGATGAGCCACCTTCAGAACAAGACTCTACCACTTCCCGAAACAGAGATTCTAATCAGCTTTCCCGGAGAAAACACGTCAAAAACACCTCAGCCAGACCTAAGCGGAAAGTTCGCCCCCAGCGAGCTCATACGACCTATCGTGACAAAGGGAAACAGCGAGAAGTACCTAATCGTTCACTGTCTAGATCTTCATCAATCTCACCCAGTGAAATAGCGCGGAACCTTCAAAATCCCAACCATCCTAGATTACGTTACAACAAAGAAAAACAATGCGCCCGAAACGATCTTTCTGCCTCGCCATCAAGCGCATACCACGCACGCCGCCTAAGTGGCCTTAACGAAGGTGTCGGTCCTAGTTTCTCTGAAGGACATCAATCTGGTGCACAGGATGCCTCCAACAATTGTAGAAACACCGAAGACCGTGAGTCAATACCTTTCTTTTGACTATCAAGCTCTGGAGTTGATCACATTTCCAATGTAGAAAACAACTTTGGACATCAGTCAAGACCCACATTCTCAACCAGGAGGTCTCACGTTCCTTCGGCCACCCTCTCGACAAGGACAGATACTTCAGTTGAATGCCATTTACTTGACTTGGAGCGCAAAGTAACTTTTCTTCAGTCTAATGCTGGTGATAGAGATGTAGACATGGAAGAGATCAATCAAGAGGTTCAAAGAGTGTGGGAGAGCTTGGAAACCACTTTGAGGAATGTCCACATCTCTTTGAGGAATGCTAATCGAAACCAACGTGAACGGGCCAATGAGGAAGGACAACACAATGAGAACGAAGGAGATAATCAAGAAGACTTCCGGGAAACTACCCCAGCAGCTAAAAAGGCTGTGCTTCGTGTTTGTCTTTCAATCTATTACACCTGGTGTTCAATATTTTCCTTGTTATAATTAAGAATGACCTACTGATCACTTATGCATCTCGGAATCAACATCTAGGGTCTAGTTCGATTCCATCTTAAAGTTCTATATGGGCAGCGTAAAAATGTCAAAACTATGCCAGGTGGGGCATCACCTGCACAGCGAGCAGTATGGCTGCGGAAATCCATGCGACAGATGCTCACGATGGACCTCGAGGAGGCGGATGGCGAAGCAAATGACACCGACTCGAACGATCCACAGTTTCCCTATGACGGTGGACCAGGAAGTGAAAACACAAATTCTCAAGTTATCAGAACTATCTGGGTTATGATGCGTGGTGTGAAGATGGTCTCATATCGACTCAATTTCGAAGAATCACTCAACTCAAGAGAAAACACCTTCCTGCTGGAATTTGCGACGGCAAGCTTCATCAAGCTGGTTCAATGTGGCGAGTACAAGGGTATAACACCTGGAGACGTCCGACCGGAGTTGATTTTCAATCTTATGAAAACACATGCTAAAGACAGGCTCAAGAGGATGTAAGATTGTAATAAGTCAGGTTAAAAAATACGTGAAAGCTGATCCAAACTTCAATTCATTCATTTAATCTCTAGTTGGCGCGAACAACACAACTGGACTCCTGAGAGAAGGCAAGAGCGAGATAAGCGACAGTTGCGTGTTTCTCGCGCAAGAACGGTATGTACTACTAATCATCTCATCAATACAATCTGCTGCTCATATAAAGACTATGTTACTAATCACATATCCATACTTTCTGCAGCTGAAAGAGGACAGGCTTGATGCAGTGGGGTCAAAGGAATCTTTATGGCCTCTTGATCCATTGGTTACAAGATGTTGTAGCGATGACAAAACGGATGCAGAGGAATCGGCGGCTTTGGATTCAAAGGTCTGTAACATTCGTCGGTATGAGTGGCGTTCTGCTCGAATGGATTACATTCTTGATAAGATTGATGAGTATCGAGATAAGAGAGCTAGAGGCAGCCCAGGCAGTACACCGGGTGGAAATCCTTATCAAAGACGTATTCGAAGTAGAAACAATCCACTCAATCCTTCACCTCCCCCGATACAACTTCCTCTCGACTGTTACAATACAGAATGGTATGATAGCCTCGCACAGAATGCTAAGGATGAATTGGAGGTGCTTCCACCGATTGGGCTGTCTAAGTATGCACGTTTACTGAAAAGGTTATGTAGGGCTGGTGAGGAACAAATGTAGAGAAAAAAGAAATTCCAAGCTGAAACATTTGTAATTAACCTGATCATTGAAGATTGAAAGCACTACATATCTACCACAAACCACATATACTCTGACAAAGTGGCTTCTCTTATACATATATTGTCTGAAAGAGTAGAGTATCTGGCCGTAGGATGAGCAATACAAACTAAATTATTCAGTTGTGTTCTCAGATGTGTTTGCGGCAGGCTCGGGAACGGCCGTGGCTGCAGCGGCATCCTCGAAGTCGCAAGTGCGCTTACTAAGTTTGAATCAGCGAAAAGATTTCAAGGAAATTTGCCAGTTAGCACCTTGTTTGAAGATTGACCACTTTAATGTCAAAGGTCGGTTACTCACGTCTCTTCGGATAGTAGTGCCCAAAGATCCGCGACATCTTTGTAGAATCGTTTTGATGTGCGCTTATGAAGTTTGTATTCTTCTCCAGACTCTTTGAGTTGCTTTTTGTATAGTTTACGGTGACGAGTCACCGTGGGGTCCGTTGATCGCAATAACATCTTACAGTAGGCTATCACTTTCTGAGTGTCGTGCACCTTGTCGACGATGTTTATAAGGCGATCTTCTACCAGGTAGGCGGCGTTTTCGATGGCGTCAAGCTCGGAGATATTTAAGAATCGATATTTCTCTACATGATCCCCGACGACTGCCTTGAGGTTGAAGATTAAGCCAGCATCGAGGGTTGTTCCGACTAAAACACGGAAGTTGCTGGCACGTTCATCCGAAGTAGACCTCGATAACGATGAATCAGGCCTTCGATCGTGAACGGCCAAGTTTTTTAACTCGGGCATGAGGCCACGAACATCGTCAAGTAGGTAAGGTGGCAGCATGATCACTTCCTGGTACCCCAACTAAAACATCAGCTAACAAGATTTCAAAATTGAGATCAAGGAAAACCCACACGCACTTAATCAATGAAACAATCGACAGAGAAACCAATGATGATGGGCTTCCAAATTAGAGTATCTTGAGGATTTAAAAGCAAAACTACTTTGTTGGACAGACGCACTACCTGCTGACTTGAAAGGGCTACAGCAGTTGCAGGCTTGTACCCCACAACTCCTGGCTGTATTGACCAGATAAATATGACTCATCACCCGAAGTTCTTCGTTCTTTTACCATTGCCACTTATAAAGCGTCAACAAAACAACAATATCACATACGGGCCAAGACATCATCAAAGGAATATCTCTTGACCAACCATCAGCCTCATTACCAATACATGCATCTTACAAAAGTGTATTACAAGTTCAACACCATAAGTTAACTTCACCATAAGTTAAATTCAGTGTAAAATGAGAGATACATCTGGCATGCAGACCCAACAACACATGCTGGGTGATTGTAACACATTCAATGCTTAACTCATGGGTTAGACTGTCCACGGTGTTCATGTCTCTATCAATTATTGTTCACCCCAACAAAGATAAACTCCTGGCTGAGATGGGTGAGGGATCAAAGTCATAACCATGTTCCCACAGTTATATGACACACATCTGAGACCCGTCTGGTGGCTGCGGAAATGTGCATTCTGTAACTTGTGGGCTCATGGGGGTTTTGTACCATGTTGGGCCGGTACCTACATATGCATATGTTGGGTATTACACATGTTACATAATAAGAAGTATATGTAATCAGTACCCCTGGCTCAGGGGCATCTTTTGGAATGAGAGAAATTGACCCAGCTTACCTGTAATTGAGAGAAAATTCAATTGAAGTGTGGACATGGCTGGTATGACGCCTTGTTGGAATGATCACTCAGCACTTTCCAGGGACCTGAAGTAGGGTTTGGAGCCTGCCCTGTATGTGACAAAATGGCCCCGACTCTTTGCTCAGTCCTGGTCAGACCCAATATCAATCTCAAGCTGATCAGGGCCTGTCAAGGCCAGCTGAGAAGAAGTACAAGACTGTAGGTGGCAGTTTTGGTATTGCTCAGCCACTATTCCCTGGCATGTTTTGGGTGACTTCCATGAGGCCGGTGGCTCAGGGATGTTGGGCAGCTGGTTTGATCTGGCCAAATAATTATTCCCGCATTCAAAAAAATTCCCCTTGGAAAATTGGAAATCTTTTGTATAAATCGTTCAACTGAAACTTACCTCTCACACAAAGATGATCGCCTTCCCACGGTGTCAATTTTCTAAAATCGGATGGTATACAATATTCTTTGTGCTTGCGGCATTTTCTTCAGAGACAATACACACGTGTACGTTAGACGCCGAAGTACAACGGGACAATGCAACATACAGCTGTCCATGGGTGAAGACCGGCTTTGGCAATAACACAGTGACTCTTTCTAAACTCTGCCCCTGACTCTTGTTTATGGTCATGCAGAAGGCTGGAACGATCGGGAACTGCAAGCGGTGAAATGGTATCGGACAGTTCTCGTTCCCTTCATGTCGAAGCCTCATCTTTGGCAGACTTATTGAAATTCCCTTTGACTCACCCGTCAAAACACGGCATTGCAAGGCGTTGTCGCTGTAATGAGTGATCAATAATCGGGTTCCATTGCACAGTCCTCCCGCCAAGTGTAAGTTCCTCAATACCATCACTGATGCTCCGACTTTGAGATTCATTTCATGTGAAGGGAAGCCTGGGAAGTTGAACGTGTTCAAGACATCCACCGAAACCGGATTGCTGAAAGCTTCATCCATGAGATCGACAGACGTCGAGAGGTGATATTGGCCCGGCAAAGTATCCATAACGTAATCATTGATCATTGACATTGTGGCATTCAGTGGTGTTATGACGCAACGGTTTGAATAGTAGTCTATCAATTGAGGCCAGTCTTGATTCCTTACGAACTCCGCAGCTCCTTGGTATTCAGTATCTACAATATCGGAATCAAAAACACACGGAGGACGAATTACCGAAATCCGGCAATGCGTTAGAGGTAGTGTTGCAGTGTGCGTAGTCTGTAATCGCCCGGACCCTAACTCCAGCAACCACGCAGCAAAGGCGGTGTTCAAAGGGTCAGGTCGAGAAGTACATCCTCCGAGCCGGATGTTTAACGTTAAACGAAACCGAGTGATATGATTCCATAAATATGATGCCTTGAGACTTGCTGCGGCCTGTCCCATCAAGTTTGCTCGTCTCACAATTGGCAGGGTTTGCCTGAAATCCCCTGCGAACAACACCACTTTGCCTCCAAAGGGAAGATCATTACCAGTTAAATCTCTGAGCGTGCGATCCACACACTCAATAGCATGCTTATGCTGTATGGCCACCTCGTCCCAGACTACAAATCGTGTATCTCGAAGAGCGCGACCGACTTGATCCTTGATCGAAATTGGGCAAATTGATTCCTCGTCAACCACGATTGGAATTTTGAAGGCGCTATGAGCTGTTCGACCGTGAAGCAGGAGAAGAGACGCAATCCCCGCTGCCGAAACTGCCTGAAAGGGTATTTGCTTTCCGTTACAATGATGTAGTAGGTAATTAAGAACAAACGTTTTTCCGGTTCCGCCAGGGCCATCCAGGAAAGCGAGGTATGGTTCGTTGTTCATCAGTGCGTCAATAATGGGTCCAATAATAGATTTTTGCTCCGCCGTTAAGACCCCAAGCATGGCCTCACTTTTGCGAAGGCTTTGCTCCGGACTGATTTGATCGCAGGTACCAATATCGGGAAGGTCTGGGTCTAAGAGTAGTTTGCTATCCACTGGAGGTAAACCTACTGCATCAAGAGTCGATTCCATAGACAAAATTATCTTCTCGAATTGATATAATCCATAATTTTGAACATGATCTAGAGTTGGCGTAACGCGAGGGTTCAATCTCTTTATTTGATGTTCACAGTCATCTGAGAGGTTAGTAACATGCTCTGACCACAGTCGAGCTGGATCAGCTGGCGAACTATGGCATAAGATGATCGCAAGCATACACCTGAGTTGATTCCCGGTTTTCCATATCGCGGCTTCGAGCAAACTATTATGGTAATGTTGATCGCTAAGTAACAGGCCATGCTTATCCGCCGCTTCACGAAAAGTTGCCATGGCAATCCCGTTCACAGTTCTGAGATCTTCAAAGGAAGTCGGACCACGGATGTGAGAAAGCAGTAAACGTAAATAATATACGTCACCACGCTTGATATTTGCAAAATACACCCTCCCTACCGCAATAGCCCCATTCTTCCGCTTTGTCAGTTGCTTAGTTTTTTGGTTCCAAACGAAATGCTTGGGAACCTCGTTGTATTTGAGGCTCCGGATTGTCTGCTCAGAGTTTCGGAGTTTAACATTGGCTTTGCAAAGTCGAAAAAATTCAGTCAACGTTGTTCTTTCGGCCCGTCCAGTTTCCACTGCTCTCCGTAGACCCGTCGTATCTTGGAAATAAATGGTCTGATTGCCTTCAAGATGCAAAGCCAAGCGTTGTACCGGAGGGTATCTTCCCGCAATTGGGTACCTGAGCAGACGCCAAATTGCTGCAATTATGTATTAGTCAATGTTACTATGAACACGCGCATATGAACGTACCCTCAGGAGCACTAATAAACCGGGCGTTCAGGTAGGCCAAGATTTCATCCTTGGTTTCGTCGCCCTCCAGCTGAGCCATTGTTCTGTCATGGCCTTTTAGGATATATTTAAAAAGGTACTTAATAGATCGGATGCTGGCTGCAACTTCTACGTTGATGTGACATCCGAACTTCAAGAGCAAAAAACGATTGTACGGGACAACGCTACTGTTTTCATACGTCACTGGACCTTTGATGAAGCAGCGCCCGTTATTCGGTCGTTTGTACGTTGGATAAGAGTCCTCAGAGATTGAGGTAGTATCGCAGAAAGGCCGGGGGAATCCTTGAGTACAACCAGAGCCAGTCCAACACGGGAACTTTTCGCAAGGTCCGTGGAGCATATGTTGCGTTACCAGGTCAAATAATTGAGATTCGGTTTCAGGATCAGGCAGTTGTGCTGAGATTAGGCAGTCAATGTCTTCATTTGTAACCGGTCTTGAGTCATTGTCCAAGAAAAGAATGAGGTGACAATGAGGTAAACCTCGTTTCTGAAATTCACTCGTATATACATACGCAAGACACACCCCTAGGCGCTCGCGCTTGGTAACATCGTCTAGCAGCTCGTGCAGTTTGAGGTAGAAAACTCTAGCGACCAAGTCTGGTCGATCGTCAGGAGACTGCCCTGGTTCTGATTCATTCGTAATTTCAGGCCATTGCGGATTGGCTGTCATGGTTATGAACAGACTGGGATTGCCGTACTCTGCAACCAAACTCATTGAATCCTGATAGAGTTGCTGAAGGTGCCTCGGACCGCCGATGAAGCTTGACGGTAGAACAACTTTGCGGCCCACGATTTCATCCTC